CATGTATGTGACTGAACAGGGCAGTTTGAACAGTCATGAACAGGTTGGGCATATAGAGGGCAGCATGCTGTGGAACAACAGTGTTTGGCTAGGTAGCCAAACTGCCAACATTTCTGGCATGGATAGAGAAGGGGTTGACATGGTCAGAAATGGTAGACAATCCTCCAATATAAACATCATGGGATCATGTCTACAGAAGCTAATTTTGGTAATATTGAAATTGGACTTATGTTGGCCTCTGGGAGGAATATTGTAGCACTATACTGCTACTGTGTCATAATCAGTAAGGCAGGTAAGTAGGTCATATTCACAATATGACCAGTTCTTGTCATATATGGGCGATCCGTTGGTGGATAGAAACAGTTCCAGTACAAGTATTAAGAGAGAGGCGAGGTTCAGCAAGAATGGGTTTGCCAGTAAGGTCAGTTTGGGTAGATAGTGCATGAGCTTGGGATTCTGATGTAACTGTGACTAGGCATGAATGATCGGAGCAACTGCAAAAGGTAACTTTGCCAACTTGTTTTTGGAGGCACTATGGAAAGGGAAGGGTATTCTCAGAGTAGAGGGCTGTGGAAGGAATCACAGAATCAATCCCACTTGGCTGGGCCAACGAGAGTACTCAAAAGGTTTGCAAAGGTAGAAGCAGCAGAAGGACGAAGGCAGGAGGTAGATAGGGCGGTGTTGAGTGGAGTAGTTCTCTGGGGGGGGAAGACAGTAAGGATCAAGAGTAGTAATAAGGGAAGAGTGGGTAGCCATTGAAGAAGACTGCAGAGAATGTTGGGAGAGTGGAAGGGGTGCATTTTTGAGGTTGAGTAATAACCTGGGTGGGTTGTCCAGGATGGATAGCATTGTCAATAAATGTTGAGGAGGGGGTTTTAGTATCAGTGATCATAGGAGTGGCAGGGGCCAGAAAATCATCAAAATCAAAATCAGATAGGCTTGATGAAGGGGGTAAGGCCCTATTAAGGGTAAAGAATCTTCATTATTAGCCATGGTGAGCCTGAATAACTTGGGGAAAAGAAACGGTTTACCCCTTAGGGTCCCCATTGGTCCTTGGAGACGTTCATGACAACAAAGTCAGCCTTTCATCCTTTCAGCACAGCTTTCACACATGACTGGACAGAAAAAGAGGATAAAGAAGATACTGAGAGGAAAGAGAAAATACTAAGCAAAATTAGTCGAGGCTAAGGCTGAAGTCCAAGGTAAGGGCAATTCCTTCATTGGGCTCCAGCCTCTATCTCCTAAGCCCCCCCCCTGACAACAAGCAAGGTATTGGGAGGTGACCAAGTGTTTCTGAAGCCATTCAAGTAATGTTTAATGTTTGAAAAAAAATGTGCTAGAAATGAAAGGTCATGTAGCACTATGGTAAAGTATTGCGTCGGAAAGGGCAAAGGAGAGTTAAAGATTACGATAAAATGTGTTAGATGTCAAAGGTTTAAAAGCATTATAGGATAGTAGGGTAGTGAAAAGGGGGAATAGGGAGTAAGTGAATTAGAGCAGAAATTAGTACAAGGGGAGGGTAGGGTGATTGAGTGAATTGCAGTGTATCTGTCACTGGGGTAAGTATGTTCAGGAAGAATAGAGACAGCTGTTGAAGAGTAAGAAAAGAATCCGGGGAGAGTGGAGGTAAATCCGGGGAGAGTGGAGAGTGTTGGATATCAAAGATTAGAAGGTATTGTAGGAGAGTATGGTATGAAAAGGGAAAGGAGGGAAGTAAATGAAATAGAGCAGTGATTAATAAGTGGGAAAGGTTAAGAAGGTAGAGCAATTAAATGAATTGCATTGTATCTGTGCTGAGGAAGGAATAGGGAGAATAGGTGATAACATTAGATATGGTTGTCTTAGTAGTAGGGATTAGGTATCTGAGGGTTGAGATAAAGGATCAGGAGAGGTGAAGGAGTAGGTCTGGGGTTCGATAGGGATGGTGGGGTCTGGGGAAGGTATGTGATAAAAGAGATTCACGTGCGTATCCAGGAGGGAGTGGGAGGGATAGTGGGAAGGATGGGGTTTTGAGGGGGGTTTTGTTTGGTGTTATGGGTGGTTTGGGTAGTGAGGTATTTTGGGAAGGGGTTGGGGAATATAAGGGGTAGAGCAACTGAGTGAATTGCAGTGTATCTGTGACTGGGGAAGGAGTAGGGACATGATCAAGAAAAAGAGGGCTGTTGGAGAAGTAGGAGAATAGGAATCCAGAGGGAGAAAGGGAGACTGGGAAGGTGGTGAAGTATCAGGAAAATGTCTGGAAGGAGGGGTCTGGAGAAGGACACTGTTGTGATAGAGAGGATTCGTGTGAGTATTCAAGTGGTAGAGAGGGTGGGGTATGTTGAGAGGGTGTAGGAGGAAGGGGGTGGAGGGAACTTGGGAAGGAGGAGGATGAATATCTGCAAATACTTTAAGTAGCAGGAGTAGGAACAGAGGGATGGGGGTGGATGAGGGAGCGGAGTGTTCCCTTGGGTCATCTTTAGGAAGTTTTGGATGTCTTCAAGGGTTTCTGGAGGGAATTTGGTATAGAGGACTGAGAAACAAAGGTTCTCTTATAAGGAGGAGAAGAGGAGATGGATATCTGAGGAACAGATGAAGAGGAAGGTGTAGGAGAGAATGTAGTAGGAGAGGTGGAGTGGAACGTTTAGGTTGTCTGGTACACAACTAAAGTGAGGAGGTAGGTATCCGGAAGTGTAGAGATTGGAGTATCTGGATTTAGGATGGAAAATGGATTTGACTGGTGGATAGGGTGAGTAGACATAGGAGTAGGTTTTGGTATAGGGAAAATACCTGGGAGATGCAGAAATATCTTGTGTAGATGGTGGGGAGCAGAGCAGGACTGTTTTGGAATAAGTTGAGAGAAAAACCTCGTCGTCGTGCTTCCTGTCTGGCCTCACATAGAGTGAGGCCTAGTTTAAATCTGAGGACTGCTACCTCACATTCAAACTTATAGGCAGGGCAGCTCCTATAAAACACATTATGGAGTCTCCACAATTGGCACATGTATGTGACTGACAGGGCAATTTGAACGGTCATGACCAGGTTGGGCACATAGAGGGCAGCAGGCTGTGGAGCGACAATGTTTGGCTGGGTGGCCAAAACGCCAACATTTTTGACATTGACGAGGAAGGGGTTGATATTGTCGACATGATAAGACAATCCACCAATATAAACCATGGGGGAGGTCTTGTCTATGGAAGCTAATCTTGGCAATATTGACGTGGATTTACGTTGGCCTCTAGGAGGAAGAGTGTAACACTGTACTGCCACTGCATCATATTCATCAAGGCAGAAAGTAGGTCATTTTCACAGTCTGACCAGTCCTTTTATACATGGGACAAGCATTTGGGGGAATAGAAACAGTTCCAGTACAAGTATTAAGAGTTGGGTGAGGTTCGGCAGGAATGTTTGCCAGTAAGGTCAGTTAGGGCAGATAGTGCACGAGCTTGAGCTTCAGATGTAACCGTGACAAGGCGTGAACGATCAGAGTGACTGCGAAAGGTAACCTTGCCTACTTGTTTCTGGAGGCACTGCTGAAAGAGAAGGGTATTCTCAGAATAGGGGGCTGTGGGGGGAATCACAAAGAATCGATCCACTTGGCTGGGCCAAATAGAGTACCAGAAGGTTTGCAGAGGTAGAGGTAGTAGAAGGACGAGGGCGAGAGGAAGATGGTGGTGTGAGTGGAGTGGAGTTCTGCGGGGGGAGACAATAAGGATGAAGAGTAGTAATAGGGAAGAGGGGTTGACATTGAAGAGGGTGTGCAGATGAAAGAGAATGTTGGGGATGAGGAAAAGGTATTTTCCAGGGTTGAGTAATAACCTGGTGGTGTTTCAGAATGGTTAGAGTTGTTCGTAAGCGTCAAGAGGGGTATTAGCATCAGTGGTCAGCCGTGGTCAAAGGAGGGGCAGGGGTTGGAAAACCATCAAAATCAAATTCAGATAGGCTATTTGATGAAGGGGCAAGCCTTAATGCCTCTTAAGGGTAAGAATCTTCATTACTGGCCATGGTGAGCCTGAATAAACTGGGGAAAAGAAATGTTACCCCTTAGGGTCCCATAAGGGTAAGGGCTAAGTAATTAACCAAGGGAATACCATGCCATGGCTCATGGAGGCCGTTCGTGACTGACACAAAGCCAGCCTTTCATCCGTTCAGCACAGCTCTCACACCTTAGGAATGGGATAGAAGAAGGGAGTAAAGAAGATACGGAAGAGGAAAAAAGAGAAGAAAGGACCAAGCAAAATTAGTTGAGGCAAGGGCCAAGGTAGGGGTAATCCTCTACATTGGGTCTCAGTCCCCGTCTCCTAAGCCCTCCCATGATGACAATGAGCTAGGTTTTGGGAGGGCCATTTAAATATACAAAACTTATAAAACAAAAAAAGTATGTATTCTATATACAAATGATATATTTCTTCTGTAATACTTCTCCTTAATAAAATTAGCCAGAGTAATTTCAGACTTGATAGCATCCATTCTCATTTCAATAATTACAGTACTTGGATCATATATGGTATTTCTTCAAAGAATTATTCGGTTTCAAACACATTTATCTTCATTTCCTTTTTTGCAAAAGCAATGTTATGTTAATTAATAAGGAACATAAAATTTATTTTTATTTCACATTTTTTCAAGAAAAAAACTGCTGCATGCTTTAAACTTTTTATTGGTAGAAAAAATAGCTAATGAATGTTGTTCATTTTTGTTTACATGGAACTTTCACATCTGAAACGAAAACTCAACATACATCAACATGTCTGAAATCTTGTCAACTAACATTAAAACAACTGAAGCTCACAACCTATCATAGTAGATTAATAAACTGTTGACAATGGATATACCAGAAAATATCTCTGAACAAGCAAAAACTAAATACTTTAGAAAAACAGAACAAACCAGGGCAATGACTTACCCCAAACGAAAATAATTTGTCACAAAGAAAAATGATAAAAAAAAATATAATAATGGCTAAAAAAAATAATATTCTGTATGAAATAGGTTATATTCCTCCTCAATTTGTTCACCTTGGCACTTGGATTGATAATTTCAGTATAAAAGGCACTTTTATGATCTCAATTTGTAACAACTAATTATAATATTTATTGACTAATTATAATATTTATTGGTGTATCACGAGATTCACTGTAAATAAACTGGAATTCTCTAGAAAAATTACAATAATCATAAAATATACATAAATATCTAATACAGGAAAAAAATACATGTTATTACAGATTTCTATCTATAAACTGCAGTACTTTCAAAATGATACTTTCAATTGACTTCATTTACAATTTTGATTATAAGAATAGACTTATTCACTGCAGTTCTGTGCAATCAGATCTATTATTTTATTAAACTTTGCTTAACCCATTAATATTCTCTTTTACTTTCCATTCTATCTTCCACCATAAGCTTGCAGGCTCACCAAAATAATTCCCATCTGCTTTTAAACCTTGCATTAATATTTATAATGATTCTGGCTGATGCAAGCTACTATTCCCACTACTGAAGATGTATTTCACTTCTATATAATCCATCTTGAGCTTTAAGCTAGATAAAACCTACTTATAGTATGGCACTCAAACAGAAAATCTAGAAGTACACATCATTATTCCCCGTTGTAAACTTCATATCGTAGCTCAGTTAAATGGTCATTTATTTCTTCTACAACATGTCCCAGCTCGGCTCTAATTTCCTTTTCTTTCATCTTTTCTAGTTCACCTTCACTGCACTCTGTAACCATCTGTCGTGCAAGCTGCAGGTGTGCGGTCTGTAAAAGGGTAAAAGTTGCTGAAAATATGACCTAATTTTCAAAGCGTTATGACCTAGTTTCCCTTCTTCATTTATTGCTAACAACTTCAAAATAATTACATCTGAACATCATACTTACAGAGCTGTATGTTCTTTCATAAATATACTACACTATATCTAAACAACTAAATAATTGAATACTATTTGCAGATACTCAAATTTGATACTTCTAAAGATGAAAATATTGTCTCTCTCTCTTGATACACTGACTTACCAACTCTAACTTCTTCTTTTCACATTCTTGAATTGCTAGAATTGTATCTGCAACAGCAGCATTACCACTAGATCTAAGGTTCTTCTCAATAGCTATGATATCTGCTGATATTCTCTTGAATTCTTGTGTGATATCATGAACCAGCTGCCGAAAAGTGGGGAAGTCGTAGTTTGGGCTCGTACTCAAATATATCTTGTGCCCCCTGCAAAAGTGAAATGTATTAGTGCTTTCGTATCAGACTGATCAACTTTCAGGATTTTGATAAACCTATAATCCAGTCTTCATCAATCAAGAACTTCTATATGCAACTACAACCTGCAGATACCTTTTTGATAGAAAGGCCCACATGCCATTAAAATCACACTAGCATTCAGATAAAATTGACTGCCAATATTTCAAACATTTGTAAAGTCTATTCTAATTATAAGTTCCATTCCAATAGTCATCTATAATTTCACTAAAATAATAAAATAAAAACAAAAGTATAAATACATGCACATGCAGACTGTATAAATCATTAACAAAGTTAACTCCTTATATTTCAAACATTTGTAAAGTATATATTAAATATAGATTCCGTTCCAATAGTCCATCTATAATTTCACTAAAATAATAATATATAAACAAAAGTATAAAGATAAGCACCTGCACACTGTATAAACCATTAACAAAGTACTTTGCCTTAAAAAGACATACAAATATGAGAGTTCATCTGTCCTCTCAGCCCTGACTTACTCTTCAAAAAGTCTATATGTATGAACTCGCTGCTCCTGTAGCAAGTTAAACTTGCGAATTTCAGAGGCAACTGTGTTTTCCCGCATTACTGATTGATCTGTAGAGAAATAATGCCTGATTAAAATTTGAAGTAAACGATGATTACATTGTTAAATGAATAATAAAATAAAGACAGTACTGAGATATGTTGGACATTTACGGCAGATTTGTTAGAATTGTGCGAGGCCTGACACAAAGAATATTTGTATACTTGACATGCATAAATGAAGAAATAAATGCATATTCATCAGTCTAGACATGCATATCAACCCGGCAAATAGATGGTTATGGGTATATCTATAAGATATAGAGAAAGATATGCCTTTATTTCTGCATCTGTATTAAGAAAATTCATTCGGTCAGGCCTGGCACAATTTTAACAAACCGGGTATTATATTTGAGCTTCAATCTCAATCTCAATAATAATGCGCAGGGTGCCGAATGAGCGCATAACATGCATATTGGTAGTGATTGGTTGCTGGGGGAAGGGGGAAGGATCAAGGTGCAAGTTTCAATCATATTCAAGGGATTACTGTCGCTGTAAAAGATACTACAGTTAATTTTGAAAATTATTTACATAAACAAGAGAACAGGAAATAATAAATCAATATAATATAATATATTATATATATATATATATATATATATATATATATAATATATATATATATATATATATATATATATATATGATAAATATGGCAAACACATCTGTGCATCCTCCACTGGTCTGTGTATAACTTCTGTGCCTATCAGTACTCTAGCAATGGCTGACAACTTTTAACACATTTTGGTATGACAGAGCTTGCAAGGCATCCCCCTCAAAAAAATCAAACGAGCCCAAAGTCTTTATTTTCAAAATCTTTCATATATCTTTCTTGCAATGTTAATTATCTGATTGGAATTATCTTGAAGGCATTTTCTCACTGATCATATAAATATTCAAAAGGATCTTGATAGAACACAACACCATGTAACTAGGAGAGAATGAGGTTAATGTTTAAAGGCCACTTGCAATGGCTTTCAAAACCTTTTGCGGTAATTATATTGACTGCATTCTCTCTAATCCTACTTGAACCTGCTATGAACTGTGATAGTTGGCTAATAATCTCAAGTCTAAGCTGCTTCATGATAATATATTGTGACAGTTAGTTAGGCTTTCCAAGAGTGCCAACTGGTGCCAAGATCACAGCAATCTACCCGTATAATACAATATAGGAAAGAACAAGACACACAAATGTGCCTATATTTGTGTTTACTTGATTTCCTTTCATTGCTCTATTTGCAATTTGTTCAGCATGAAATCTAAACAGCAATATATGCCAGGACATTGGTAGACTGGTATCTCATTGACAAAAACAAAAACACTAAATATGCTGTTTTGAAAATTAAATGTAGGTTAATCAGTAAGGGTGACCTAACTATCCTGAATAGGACTATGTAAAAAAAGAATCTAATGGTGATACACATATACATCTTATTACAAGTTATCTGCGCAATGTAAGAGGACTATGCCCATACTGGCTTATCAAAATCTGCACATTTATGCATGTGATGCCATGGTATCCATGCCTTCATGATGGTCAAGAAACCTCCACCAGCCAGGCCTTTGCAAGAAAAATGTCTTTGGTAACTTCTCGTGAAATAAGGAACCAGCCCAAGCTCTATCTTGCTAGAATATATGTGACAGCAATACAATAGATTTGACTGAGCTGAAATCATAATTTGATGCAGTCCTATTCTTGATTATTATCATAAATGTGGAGAATAGGAACTATATGTTTAAGATAACTACACAATCTTCTAGTTAGGTTATTCTATGATCAACTGGAAAGCTCCTATGACATTTATTTCCTATCTCTCACTATTTATATCTATATACCCAAATTATTCAAATTTTCTACTCCATATGAAATATAAGTTGGCAACATTAAGTAACAAATGCAGAACATACTGAAAAGACAATAAGAAATGGATTGTCATCCCATTCTAAAGCCTAATTTCTACATACCATAAGGGATTCTTGAAATGTGGAAAAAAAAAACATGTCCTACAAACACGAAGACATGAAACAGGAAAAAAAAACATTTAATTAGGAGTTATTCATAGACTGCTATTACCGGCATAATTCTTTTTTATTTATTTGTTTGGAATACTTGTTTTCCCTAAATCTCTTCTTTGTCAAACTTCTGAGAAATTAAATCAACACGTTTGATTATACATAAACGCATACACCAATAAGTTTTTCCAGATTTATGACAACTTTCAAATTTGGGTCAGGATCGACGGAACATTGTGGAAAATACCCAACGTTGTTCTCTCCAAAATAAAAGCAAAATCAATACGCCTCAGACCAGCTTTCACACAGTAATTAGCCGTAATGCATGTACCTACCACGGAACTTTGCCTCCAACACTGCATCGGCCTACACAACCCCACGCAGGTCAATAACCCAAGCAGGTGACAGGTGTTTTCGTGTGCTTGTGTTTTCACTCCCAACAACAGCAAATTACCGATTATAAATTGATATAGGTAACACAACATCTATCCTCTTGCGATAATGAAACCAGGGTAATTTTGTTTACCCAGAACAGTTAGGTTTTAAGCTAATATTTTGCGAATAAGGCTGACCTTTCATTATTGCAGGAAGTTCTTTGTGCGGCACCAACGGGAGTTCGACGAGGAAAGTGCGAATAAAAGCCACGTTTCGGAACTTCCCAAACGAGACTTTGTGCAGAAACATCAGCTGCTTCACCTATGTCTCGGATCATTATGGATATTTTTCTTTCCTTTACTTAATTTTTCATGCATGATTTACTGATTGTTTATCGAGTGAAATTGGTTTAAATTTATGACCGACAATCTAGTTTGCTCTTTAATTTATTTTGTTGGAAGAATACGAGGAAGTGGCTTCCTCCTTATTCGCACTATTATTGCGATGTCGTTTATGGTTATCTTTTGTTGGTATTATACTTCTACTAACCGAAAAGACACTTCATTTCGATAGTATTTCAAAACATAATAAATAAAAGCTACGTAAAGTAAAGTCTGCACTAGAATAAAGATTGCAGGTTGGATATGAGTCAATTACTCTCTAACGTTAGATTTAAAATTGATGACATTAATCAGGCAATAAACTGGAATTAATACCGATTGCAACAGTAAGCGCTGTTGACCACGGCAAAAAAACACACTCTTACTGTAATAGACATGATAACAATCGTAATAATATTAATGATGGCAATATGAAAAAATTATAATACTCCTACTACTACTACTACTACTACTAATACTACTACTACTCTACTACTACTATACTATTGCTACTACAACTATACTACTACTAGTAGTAGTAAAGATAACAATAACAATGACAATTATAATACCAACAATCACAAACATAATAACAATAATAATAATGATACTAATACTGATAATAAAGATAATAACAACAGCAACAACAATAAGAATATAGAAATGATAATGATAATAATAATAATAATAATAATAATAATATAATAATGAAGTTACTGATGATAAAATAACGATAATAATAAGGAAAAGAGATAACAACAATAGCAAAACTAACAATCATCACCAGCATCCTCATGAAAATAATAATGAAAACAACAATAATAATAATAATGATGGTTATATCAATATCAATAATAATATTAATTAAATTGATAAGGATTGTAACAACAACAACAATAATAATGATAATGAAATAATAATAATTATTATGATTATAATAACAATAATAATAACAATGATGATGATAACAATAATAACGATAATGACATTGATAATGATAAAATAATAACAACAATAATAATAATAGCAATAATAACGATAATGACATTGATAATGATAAATAATAAACAACAATAATAATAATAGCAATAATAACGATGAATAATAATAATGGTAATAATAACAATAATAATGATAATAACATTAATGATGATAAAAGTAATAATAACAGCAATGATAATAAATAATATTAATAATAATTAATTAACAATAATGGTAATAAAGGTAACATGAATAACATTGACAATGTTAATAATAATAATATCATTAATGACATTAACAATAATGATAATAATAATAATAATAATGATAATAAATGATATTGATAATGATAAATGATAATGAAAATAATAAATCATAGTGATAACAAATGATAATGATAATAATAATAGTAATGACAATGAATAATAATAATAATAATAATAATAATAATAATAATAATAATAATAATAATAATAATAATAATAATGAAAAAATCATAATAACAATGATGATAATAATAACAATGATAATAATAATAATAATGATAGTAATAACGAAGATACTAACAGTAATTTAAAAAAACAAAAATGGTAATAATGATAATAATAGAGATAGTAATAGTATTGATAATAACAAAAATAAGAACATTAAAATTTACTAATAGTAATGACAATAACGATGATGATGACAATAATACCGATATAATAACCATGATGATAGTATTAATAACAATAATGATGGAAATATTAATGATGATGATACTAATAACAGAAATAATAATAATTACAGTAATAATGTCGTAATATTATTAGTCTTGTTATTATTATTTGCATTATTATCATTATTATTATTAATATTATTGTTATTATCATTATTATTGTTATTATTGATATTGTCTTTATTGTATTTTCATTATTATCACTGTTATCATTACTGTTATTGTTATTATCATTATTATTATTATCATCATTGAAATTATTTTTATTACTTTATTATTATTATTATTATAAATATTATTATTATAAATATTATTATTATTATTATTATTATTACTATTATTATTATTATTATTATTATTATTATATTATTATTATTATTATTATTATTATTATTATATTATTATTATTATTATTATTATTATTATTACTATTATTATCAACATCATCAATGTTATTGCTATTATCATCATTATTATCATCATCATAGTTATTATCATTACTATCAATATTACTATTATTGTTATTATACTTTATTTTTCGATATCAGTAACAATATTAATGATGATAATGTCAAGAATGATAACAGTATTAATAAAGATGATAATGATCGAAAAATAAGTATAATAACAATAATAGCAATATTAATAGTAATGATAATACTATGATGATAATGATGATAACAATAGCAATAACATTTGATGGTGTTGATAATAATAATAGTAATAATAATAATAATAAT